TGAGCAGCTGCTTAGCCAGATGGCTAGCAGACAACAGACCATACCCTTTCACAGGCTGCTCCATTATAGGGTAAGTCTACATGGCAACATTATATCAAAATAACTAGCATTATTTTGAAATAACTTAGTCTGTGTCTACATAGCAGGAGGTTATTGTAAAATAATGTTGAAATACTGTTAAACTGGAGGACTTCTCTGACTCCTGTAACCTTCATTGAACAAGGAGTAAGGGAAGTCAGAGGAAGAGTGCTCTATTTCGAAATAAGTGCTGTGTAGATGCTCTCAATTTCAAAATAAGCTACACAATTGATGTAGCTCAATTTGCATAGCTTATTTCGAGTTAAACCCTGGTGTGTAGATGCATCCATAGCTACTGCCAATGGACTCCCCTCCATGCTACCGTAACCCATGTACCTAATAGAAAGCTATCTCTTTAAGAGACCGGGTCAGACTCCATGAGCAAGCAGGCAGGACCATGTGCTCTCTGTGATCTGGGAGAAGCTAAGTCAGGAGTAGAGAGCAGGCTGTTGTCCTTCATTCTGAAACACTTTGCAGCAGGTAGTGATGATGTCCATTCTCTACCAGGGAACATGGACAACATTAATTATAGCAAGGGGGAACTGGGAGGGGAAAAAATAACTTGTTTTAGTTGCATGCTTTGAATGCTGTTTTAATTTTAGCCAAACTGTTCTAGTTAACTTTCTCAGTCACTCTGATTCTTCAGCTCCTCTTTAAATGTAGCAATGGGGAAAGAGCCATTTCTATTTTGTTCTCAGGTTTTATATTTTCCATACATGTGAGTTAACTGACTGTTTAATCAGTTAGCTAGCAGTGTAGCAGTGATCCACAGCAAAGGAAGAGTCTGCATGGACTCCAACTGAGGATTCCAGTAAGCAAGTTGAGAGACTGTTCAGACTGAGCCTATGGTGCAGATTTGATGATCAGAGACATAAACTGAGAGTTTGGTGAACTAAATGTAAGCTTTTGGGTTCTCTCGGTTTCTTCTTACTGTGTTTTTGTTTCTTTTGTGGACTGAACTGTTCAAATTTTACTTTTGGTTTTCACTTTACTTTAGGAATGTAAAATCCCGATTAATCAGCCTCATATTTAACTGGTTAACTGACTAAAAGCAAGATCTGGGCTGGCTGTCGGCTTCTGGCTCCCCACCTCCACTACAGCAGCCCCTGCCTGAAGGGTGTAAGGCAGGGATGTGAAGGACTAGCCAACTATCCGATAAGCAAATGCTTATCAGACAGTCGACAGGCTAGTCAACTAGTCACTTCCCACCCCCCTTGCTGCCTCTAACAGAAAGAGGCAGCAAAGGGGGGAAGAAGTGGTGGGGATACTTCAAAGCGGTAATGCCACATGGAGCCCAGGATCAGTTAGGAACTCCCCCACTAACCCCGGGCTCCATGCAGCGCTGCCACTTTGAAACGCCGTGGGGAGCCCAATGTCATGCTGCATGCAGTGTTTCAAAGAGGCAGCGCCACAGGGAGCCCCCAACTGATCCTGGGCTCCATGCAGCACTGCCACTTTGAAACGCTGCGAAGAGCCTGATGCCAGGCTCCCCACAGTGTTTCAAAGCAACAGCGCACTACACAGATCCCAGGGTCAGTGGGGGAGTCCCCTTGCTCACCCTGAGGTTCATGCAGCATTTCAAAGGTGGAAGCGCCCTATCGAGTATTTTATCAGTCAATTAGTCAGAGCCTGGGATCAGCTGGGGAGTGCCCCTATTCACGGCAGGCCCCCTGTGGGACTGGAGCAGCCTCGTGCCCGTGACAGTCTTCCATTTAGGGCAGTGTTTCTTAAACTTTATAAGACCAAGGAACACCAAACAATAATTATTTTTTATGAGGAACACCACAGATTCTTTGTTGAGAAAAAAAAAAGGAGGGTGGCCATTTTGAACTCTGTTGTTCTCCACGGCACACCGGTGTACCACAGATCACAGTTTAAGAAACACTTGATTTAAGGTGGTGCTTATGGGTTAATCTTTCACATCTCTAGTTTACTTATGTTTGTTGTAACTGTGAAGATGTCTGTGGGTTATAAAATGGTTATGTTGTAAAAATTTGATTATTTCTTCATCATCATATTTTATAAAGTTATTTAAATAAATTCATTTATTTAGTTTCTTTTGGGATTTGAATGTAAGGAGGCTGACACTGTGCAGTCCTTGCTGAAATTCCTTAAGAGATTGAACTCTGAGAGTTTCTATGGGAGCGGGGGGTTTTTAGACACTGGAGAAGGGCAGTGAAGACAAGCCCACCCAAGGTTACACTACCACATCCTGCAGTCAGAGCAGCCACTGGAGAGTTCTGAGGTGGGGTGATAAATAATGAAAGCATTTCTGAAATAGAAGTATGCATGGAAAGATGTTCACTTTCTTTCTATCCCTGTGCAGCCACAGGAGAAGAACAGGTAAGTTAACTATGTGCCATCACCAGTGACATTAGAATTATTAAAGTTACTGATGGTTTATACTTTTATTAACATTGACACTCTGTAGATGAGCAACTGGGCTTCCTGTTTGTGTTTTTAAATTTCTGTAATTTTCTTTGCACAACCCATCTGCATGAGACAAGAAATACAAGAAATTTAAAATCAAAGTTTTTAATTAAGTCTCAAAATGACTAATAAATTAGTATGTATAGCACTTGCAGAACACACTATTCCTCCAGACCACCACCTTTCTCCATGCAAAGCAAGCACATGAGCACTAAGGGCACCTTCACTTCCCTTGCTTATCTGGACTCAATGAACAGATCTACAATTTCTGGTTGGCTGTACCAGGCTTATAAACCAGCACTGCCTTTAATCCACTGCAGCTGAAAACTCTCCTCTGCACACTTGTGCTGCCAGTCGCCTAACCCCCTTCAGTTCCTTTTCATCAAAGTTCAGTAATAGGCTCCAGAGCAAAGGGGAAAGGGTCATGAAATGGGCAAAGACCGCATGCCTCAAAAAACAATTACAGAACAGGTAAGTGACTATTTTTTCCATTAAGTGATTGTATTGTCTATTCAACTTTGTAGCAAGGTGGATATGTTCCTACCTACTTTCCAGAACAAAGCAACTCAGAGAGAATCTTCTGGTGAAATACCATGGGTGTGTCTAGAGCAGTGTTTCTCAATCTTTTTTTTTTATAAAGTACCCCCTCTAAAAAAATTATAAGTACCTCCAGTACCTACAGTTTTCAGACACACAATTTTTTTTCTACCATTGCAACACATTTGTTTGAACAACTTAATCATAGCTGGGCGGGCGATTAAATTTTTGGATGTAAAAAGTACAAAAATAATAAAGCGCTGTAAAACTTAAAACAAAAATTCAGTTTTCTCCAAATTTCAGTTTTGTTGACGTACCCCCCAGACTTCTCTCGAGTACCCATAAGGGTACTCATACCACCGATTGAGAAACAGTGGTCTAGACTACGGAATTTTTTCAAAAAAAGTGGCCTTTTTTCGAAAAAACTTCACCTGTATCTAGACTTCCGTCACGTTCTTTCAAAATGAAATCAAAAGAACACAGTGGGTTTTTTCGAAATTGGTAAATCTACTTTTACCAGGAAGAATACCTTTTTTCAAAAGAGCTCTTTCAAAAAACGGCGTTCTTGAACGCAAACAAGGCTTTTCCGAAAGAGAGCATCCAGATTGCTCTCTTTTGAAAAAGTGGATTGCTTTTTTTAAACCCTTGTAGCTGTCTGGCGATCTCTTTCTAGACGTATCCCATGTGCTTATTTACAGTGTTCTTTCCTATCATCTTTATAGCTCATACAGCATCATGTAACATGGAGCCCTCAGCTCCTGAGCTGAAAAGGGATCTCTTATAGCTCTAACTCTGCAAGCAAGCCAACCTCTCCCTCCCTCACTGCCCCCATTGTGCACTTCCAGTGCCTTTTGTACCCTCCAGACTAATGAATTATTTAGCCTTTTTAACTCCATCCCGTCCCAATCAACTGGGTGCAGATCCCATAGTCAGATGTGCTCCAGAGCAACTAATTAGAGTTGCAGTGATTAGTGCGCTGCTGTCCATGACTTCACCCAGTCTACCTTGGAATTTTTGGCAACATGTTTTAGTGGAGGTCAACTTGACGTAGGATGGCTACCTTGACACCTTTTTATCTCTGGCCTGCTCATCATCCAGCTTCCCCAGTCAAATAGGGAACTAGCAGCAGCGCCTAAGCTTCTCTGTCATAGCGACATCAATAGGCACCCTTTCAAAGGTGCCCACAAATGCATCAGGATCATTGTCAGGGCCCATCTTACACAGAATCAGGCCTGTGCCTTGCAGACAAGCAAGGCTTGCCTCTCCAGATATTGGGACTACTTGAAATGTTGCAGTTTTTAATATCTACTACAGAAACCCTCGTGCCAGCTAAGATCCTGGGCAAACTCTCACACGTGACATGTACATGCTCCCATCTACCTTCTAAACTCACAAATGGTTTGCAGACCTATTTCAGGTGAAACACCATGTGTGGTTTTGTTCTTGCCTGCCACATTTATATACTACTAAAAGACTTACCCAGTGTTGCTCAG